CCACACCCACACCCACACCTACACCCACACCCACACCCACACCCACACCCACACCCACACCCACACCCACACCCACACCCACACCCACACCCACACCCACACCTACACCTACACCCACACCCACACCCACACCCACACCCACACCCACACCCACCCACACCCACACCCTCAAACATTTCGGATGGTGCTGCAATGGATTTTTGTTTATGATTTAGAGTGTCGATTTAAATTTACTTTTATGATAAACACAAATTTCTCATAATTTATATTTATTGTAAAGTAAATGACAAATGACACCCCTATCCATATGCTGATACTATGTATGTTGGATTCACAATAGTTTTTGTTTCTTTTTTTATTCTATTTAATAATCAACTCACCAAATTCAAAAAACTCCAGCTGATGTGTTTGTTGCTAGTAGAATATTTCTTGTCGAGCACTGTTCGTTTGTATTCTTATTCAAAGGAGTCGACTATTACTTTTACAACATACAAACATTTTCTTTTGATGCGTTCTGTCTTTCTTGTTTCGTTCTGTTACATGTTTTAAAATTCGTTTTCAATATGCTTTACGCTGAAAAAACTGCGCGTAGCAACAGTACCATCGGCAACGAGTAACCAGAAACAAATCAAAATCAAGCATGCATATTCAAACAAACTCACAATTCACGAGCAACTAGCAGTAAGAGATGCATTTCATTATCCTTCAATGCTTAGATTGATAATAATTAACAGAGCGCAGTTGTTTTAAGAAATTAGATTCAATGTTAGGACCGCGTAAAAATTCTCTTTCTTGTATAGAAGAGTCATGCAAACATAAATTGTCTGATAGCTCGCTTGCTTGCTTGTGCGTCTGCACTTCATTGATTGGTCTAAAACAAGATGAAGATAAAAACGATTATTTTTCATAAAGCTTGACCGTAGGATAATTGAGGATGCGGAGCTGGAATCTGATGTTAGTTTTAATTTATTAATTAATCACTAATTAATAACTGATTATTAATTATTAATATTTTCTATAAAACTTGACCAAATGGTAGTCGAGGATCGGGAGTTAGGGACCTATGAGAACACCTTTTCTGGTTCCCGTTCTCGCATTGAAAATTTTTGTTCCCGTTCTGTGTTCCCGTTTCCGTAATGCTTTGACAACAGCTGCAATGATTTCATTACTCACATTCATCGAAACTACTCCTACTTCATTCTAGCCTTTAGTGATCTCTTGTTTCTCACAATACAAGATTTCGTATTTTAAAACTAAATCTCTGATGTGAAGCTCATGAAACTATTGAAACTTGAAACTTGGAAGCTGAAATTCCAATTGAGTTCAAGTGTGAACTTTGACATACATGTAATTTTGATGGATCCAGCTTCGATGCCGACGATGGTGGTAAAGAATATCGTGGTTCTCATAATCTATGTTTGAATTAACTTATATGATTTTGTTGATTGATATTTGTTATCTTTTCAATTATATTTAAAGTAGTTATTGGAAATTAAATGCTGTAACATAAACAGATTTTAATTTAAACAGAAATCGGACATATGGTTTGCCGGGAACAGTAAATTTGTAATACGATTCCTGTTCCCGGAGTGTCCACCTCAGTTGCCGTTCCCCCATTCCTGATTCTGTCGTCTCACGAGAATTCCCGTTCCCGATTCCCGCGAGAAACGGGACAAGAAAACACGGTAGAAAGTCGTTCCCGCGGAACTCTATCGGGAGTTCATATCCGAGGTTAGTTTTAACTAAATAATTAATTACGTATTATTTATTAACTAATAATTAATTATTAATATTTTCTATAAAACTTAACTAAAGATGATCGAGGGCGGGAAACTCGAATCTGAGGTCAGTTTTTTGAAACTTTTTTGAAGATAAATTTTTTCATAAAAAGGAGCACTTTTTTATGAAAAAAAATCTTGTTATAAGGGTTGACCGACGGGTAATCGGGGTCGAAGAACTCGAATATTTACTTAGTTTTAAAGTTTTTGGAAGATCAATTTTTTACACAAAGGACCATTTTCTTAGAAAAAACATTTTCTTTTATAAAGTTTGATCAAAGACAATTGAGTTTGAGGAGCTTGAACCGGACTTCGATTTCTTTTTTGGTTTTATAAATGAACAGCTTGGTGATAATTCAGAAACACAATTTCTACGAGAAAGAGCTGAGCGAGTCTTTAGACGGGCGTTACTCGTATTTTTACAGAGAAATATCCCATGTAATTAGAAATCAAGAAAAAACGGGATTTTAATCAGGTTTTTTTTATAAAACATCGATCAAAATAAAACGATTTTAATCAGATGTCTTTCCTTTTATTCGACTATTTTAGATTTTTGTCAGCTTTAATCGATATTTATTTTTTTTTTACTTGATCACAATGACCTATGTATTCATCAGAGAAGTTGTCACAAGTGCAAATAGTACAGAAGAGAGACGCATACAAATTGTCACTTGAAAATATGAGAGTCATTGTCATCCGTTGCTGCTGAATCCTCTTTTTCATCGGTTTCAATCAATTATGGCTCAACATTGTTCTCCACAATGACATCCGTTTAGAGATGTAAGCCGAGTGTCAAAGAGCGGGGGTTTTAAAGGTCAAATTTCTTGTTCAAAGCGGCTGCGCCTTCTAGGCTTGGTGTTTTCTACGTCGACAGAGGTTTTAACTACAAATTATTTTTTTCCACAGTGGCGGCAGTTGCTATAGTTTATATTTTTCTGCATTGGCAACGACTTTGGAAACGAGAAAAAAAAACATTTTCGCTCCTAAATGTGAAAAAAAATGATCCATCGCATAGGTAGGATATGGGTGTGGGTGAGGCTGTGGATGCGATGTGGATCTGTGCATCTATTCTCATGTTAACATTCACCCACACCTACCCCCACACCCACACCTACACCCACACCCACACCTACACCCACACCCACACCTACACCCACACCCACACCTACACCCACACCCACACCTACACCCCCACCTACACCCACATCTACACCCACACTCGCAAGGTAATCCTCATATATCGTAAACTTAAAGAGATATTTGTCAAAATTACCGTTTTTGCTATATAAATCATAAAGAATCATTCATTGAAGTATACTTCGGCTTCGTATTTGAACAGAGTAAACAGAAACCTTATACGTTTAATCAAATGAATTAGAAAAGTAACATTTTCCTTTTAGTCGCTATCTTTTACACTTAATATCATCGCACACAGTATTTCTTCGAATCAGAATAGCATTTCAACAAAGACACAGCATGCTTGACTCATGGGTACGTTTTCGCACAGACATAATTTCCTTTTTGAATATTTCTCTGCACTAACTTAACCAACTCTAAAACTACATATTTAATTACATTCCGAAGAGTGATGTATGCGATTTTTTTCAGAATAGTTGATGCATTGAAGGTGCCGTCTTTCCTGTCCCAGGATTCCCGGATTTCTGGAGAATGTTTCATTAGGAAAGTTTTAAACCTTCGTAGCAGATAGATCTTGTAGAGTATATCAAAAATTGTGCCGGATTCAAAGTTCCCAAATGCTGTCTTATGTGAGATTTTGTGGTTGTCAGCGGTTAAAATGATCCGAATTTTCGTCCTCAATTGTCAGAGACCCTATGTTCGATCGAATTGAAAATATTTTATAAGTACTGAACCACATTTGACAGGGGTTTTTGTTTAGGATTTCTTTATATTTTTTGTTATTTCGATAAAAAAAAGTCAAAACAGCAGTTGTAGCCGAAAAACTGCTGTTTTTTACAAGTGCAGTTTGTGTGAAAACTGTCGCAATCCAACAGTGTAAAGTTTTTTGAAATAAACAAAATTATTCACCCCAAATAGTGACTAGTATATGTAAAAAAAACGTTTCCGCTCGATCTCACTCACCATGTGGAAGACACAGGAACGAAACACTAGTTTTTCTTCTAAAAACTGAATTTTAGAAAAAACTGAAAAAATCGATTTTTTTTCGATGGGGGCGTCTTAAAAGTCGTTTTTTCTATGCCTAAACGTGTTAAACGAAGTGACTAGCGCATTGAAATGCTTTTATGCCATACGCTAATATGAAAATACATCAGAGCGCCAAAATTTGCAGCAAAACTTCATCTAGTTTCGTCTAAAATATGTGTGATGCTTTCGTGGTATTGTTTCCATTCGAAAGTGAAATGAGTGAAATTTTATCCCTAAAATCTGTCGAAAAGCTTAAGTGCATTTTAAAGACTTCTGAAATCCTTTTAGACATATATATGTAGTGTATGAAAAGTTCAAATAAGAAACCTAATGAAATTATCTAGTTTTCGATAATTTTGTTTTTTCACAAATGGCACCTTCTATTTCTTAAACTTTCACATGGAAAAGTTCGAGCTTCTTAGAGCTTAATAGGCAACATATTTAAAAACTTACAATTTTTCTCAAGAAATTCTCTATGAGTTGACTGAGACTGAGGGCGGCGCAGATACAGATATTTCAATGGTTAGCAACACCACTCTTTGACATTCATTTCCACATTATCAAATGAGACTTGAGGTTTCGTTTTAGATTGTAAAAAGAAACATTCATATATTTGCAAACTAAATCAAACAACATAATTCGAAACATCGATCTAATTAAAGATTGTACACAAACATGGCTACTTCTGTTCTCGAAGATGATATCTCTCCTACATCCGCTGATGAAATGCATCTTGAAATTTTCTGTCTTGTATGGCTCGATGCTGGTGCAAGTACTAAAGATGTTCGAGATTCAGAACAAAAATTGCGTTCTATCATCAATAGGTTTAAGAAATTTCAAGATGTTAAACAATGTCAACAATATATTATGGAACGATCACAACAAGAACGAGTAGTCATGATTGTTAGTGGTCAGTTAGGGCGACAAATAGTTCCTTCTATTCATGAACTTAGGCAAGTCATAGCAATCTACGTGTACTGCATGAATAAAAACAGTAACAAAGAATGGGCTGACAATTTCGCAAAAGTAAAATTAAACCGTAGATTTTCGATTTTATTCTACAGTTTATAAAAATAGGTAAAAGCTGTTATTGTCGAAATTGATGAGCTCATCTCTCGAATTAAAGCTGATCACAAAATTCAGAAAGTCGTAGAAGAACCATTGTCAATTAGTGTTTTTAATACGAACACTGAAGCAGGTACATCAACAACGGGTGTAAATGGTCAATTTGTTTTTTATCAAGTTCTTATTGATTGTCTTCTACGGCTAACATCTACTGAACAAGATAAAGAAGAACTTATTAATCTTTGTAAAGAACAGTATAAAGGCAATAGTACTGAACTGAACAATTTGTGCGACTTTCAAGATAATTACTCACCTGATCAAGCATTGTGGTGGTACACAAAAGAATCATTCTTTTATAAGACTCTCAATGCAGCTCTACGTAAGCAAGATTTTCATTTTATTTACTTATTTCGTGCGTTTATCTGCGATATTCATCGTCAATTGACAAAGTATCAACTAAAACAACCTCAAAAAGTTTATCGAAGCCAAATGATATCTAGTGATGAACTGAAAATGTTGGAACAATGCTGTGATCAGTTTATTTCAGTAAACTCATTCTTTTCCACTAGTACTGATAAGGAAAAAGCTCTCTCATTTGTCAAGACTTCTGAGACTACCGACAACTTAAAACCGGTATTATTTGAGATTGATGCTAATCCTTCGGTAGTCACTATCAAACCATTCGCTGATCTTAGCCCATATAGTGCATATCCCGGCGAATCAGAAATACTTTTTATGCTCGGCGCTATTTTCCATTTGGACAGCATCTATCGAAGTAGCGACAGTCAATTATCAATTATTCGAATGACTTTATGTGGTGATGAAGTACATGCTTTAAAGGAAGTTCTTGTGCATTTAAAAAAACAACTTGGCAATGGAGAAACAAATCTTCACATATTAGGACGACTACTATGGGATATGAGTAGACCTGATCTCGCTGAAAAATATTTTCTTCGCTTGTTAGAACAATTGCCATCAAATGATCCATCCATTGGTAAATTATATGATGATCTTGGAAAACTTGCATCGCAGGCCGGTAAATTAGACAAGAGTATGGAATGGCATAAAAAAGCTCGTGAATTCGAAAACCAATCAAAACCAATCATACCTATGAGTAAGCCCATCCAAAGAAATCTAATCATATAGTTGTAAAGAGCATCCAATATAAGAGTTACACTTTTATTAAGAACGTCACCTTTGCAAAATCTCAAAGAAATGAAGTTTGTAAAAAAAAAGGCAAAGCAAATTTCATTAATGAGTCGGAGCCTTCACTTATTGATTAATCATTTCAGATAACCAAAATAGTTGACGACTGTAATTGGTTTAATAGAATTATTTGTTTTCACATGTTCTATTTTTTATTCTTATTGTCATCAGCGATTGACTTAAAAACATGTTTTACCTTATAATTGATTTTTTATATTTTCCTGTTTATGTTTCTATATCATGAAAATTATTTTGAGCTAATCGACGATCTTCTTATGCCATAGCTAATAGGTAACAATTCATTGTATATTTAACTTTCAAGTTACTTTCGCAAGCTATACGAATAAAATACAGATAGTGTAATGTCTAATTTTTTTAACAGAGTAGCAACAAATGTAAAGGAGATTTACTGAAGTCTCACTTAAACTCTGAACCCTGAAATTCGCTCAACGAATGTTTTCCATACTGTCTACAATGATCCTACCTTTTTTTCCATTATCCAATCCTTTTCATTTCTATTTACTGAACAATCGTTGCTTAGATAGTTTATTTGCACATTCTTCTAATAAGATAATATTTATAATGGGTTGCGATCTCTCCACTTTTGAAGCTCTACGCAGTTACAAAATATACTCCGTCATTGACTTTATGAGCTATTCTTTAGAAAAGTGCTGTGAAGTGATATGTATTTTGTTCATCTCATTCTCTTCAAACGAAAGCTTTAAGCCTTGAAGAATGTGCCATGAGATATTCTTGTTGAAAATGAAGTGATCATCTCTCCGTGTGTTTATTCAGATTTTGGTAAAAAAAACTATTGAATTACTTATTGTATAAAAAGAAACATATGTATATTTTAGTTGTTTTGAAGCTCACTTTTGGTTATTGTAAGACCGCATGTTTTTTTGAACGGATGTAAATTCATATTTGTTTCATGCACCATCATTTATGATCATAATTTCTATAACGAGAGGTGTGATAGTATGAAAACATGTAATTGAAAGTAGACCAGTTTTTTTTAAAGAACTTTGCTTATATCAAGTTTTGAACTAATGAATATAAAATATAATAAATAGTGGTATTTTTTAAAGCAAGGTATGACATATAATTCTCTCTAAGAACGAACAGTTAAATAGGTGTGAGTATTGCTATAATGAATATCCACACCCACAAATTTTCCTTTTTCAATGGATGTAAATCCGTTATTATTCTTCGCACCTGTTAATCATATTGCAATTAGTACAATAGTGTATTTTCGTCGCAGTTGCTAGAAAAGAAATGATATTAGAAACAGCAGATAATGCTAGTAAAAATATATCTTATGATCATTGTTTCATATCCTCCAACGAAGAAATAACTTTATGAATCAATAATTCTCTCATTGTAAGAAGTATTTAAATTAAATTATTTAACACGATCATAAAAATAAATGCTCCTGGAATTCTCAATAACTAAGTACTTTTTTACTTGAAACCGAATTATAATGACATTACATATTACTATTAAATGCGATTGTTCATAGAAATGATTTATCATAGTTTGATGGAATAGGTTTCTCTATCTAATCCACTTTCGCAAATACCTACATCCAACGTGGAAGTATATTGTCTTTGGAACGATTTATAAGTGCTCAATATTCGATAATAACCGTTTGTACTTGGACTAAATAAATAATAAAGCAACTCCCTCTATTTCTGACTTAAACACTACTTTGTCAAAGAACATTGCGCGTAATATCAAAACCAACTTTAGATGATTGTTAGTGGTACAGTTACACATATTTATTCACTATTATTGATGATGATTAAGCAAAATTTTATTTAAAGAGATGCATGATAAATAAATGGAAGCATATTAAATAAAAATGAAAGAATCGTCTCAATAAAAAAATTCCTCGAATGCAAATCTCTGTTTAATATCTTGATCGATTTTTCCTATGCCAAACGTCTACCTCCTTCGACAATGAAAAACAGGGAAACCTCAACTAAATTGTAAAAAAATCATAGAACAAAGAGAGAATTCATGGTTATGAGCAATTTAGTACTATTTACATGATCATAGAGTATTGATAGTCCTGCTATTTCACCTTTGAAAATTATTTATCATCAATATTTCGGTTTTTGTAATCTAAATTTGTAATATCTCGGTATCAATGTATAAAAGAAAGAGGAAGACTAAGTATATCATCAGGACACGAAATGTAATGTTTAACTTCTATTAATATAATATTGAAAATATGAATCTAAGAAAATACATACTCCTCTATAGTCTTAATTAGATTTGTGAATTTCGACTCACAAAAAAGAATATTGCAACGATTTTGTAACTCTAGCGAAAATCAACGTATAAATAATGTTTACCAACTTTGTAGTAGTTAAACAAGAATATTCAATTGACAGCATACTAACAGTACACAAGTAACCGTCATATGCTGTATAAATTATGTTTCTCATTCGAACAATTTATTCAATAGTAGATGCGTTTTTGAAGATTATGTAGACAAATCAAGTAGTTTTAGCGAATGAACTGTTCTTCTATTAGAGCTTGACATTTATTTTATACTTTCATCACAAAAAATGCTGCTAGTCAGATTATTTATTAAATAATAATAGTTTACGACAAATGGAACCTTCGTTTTTGTTTTTATTAGTGACATAAGCTAGTATGGAAAAAAATTGCCAAAACCTGCGATCGTAATAGTCTGCTCAGGAAGATCGTCTAACGGCAATTTTATTTTGCTTGAAAGGAACAACCTTTGAACTTCAAGTTTTGTACCAGATCATTCTTCGAGAAAGATTTTGAAACATATGATACTCTAAAAGTCAAACAGTTGTAAAACAAGCTCTTGCAATTTTTCGAGAAGTTAAAAGTTGTGTATTTTTCAATAATTTTGTGTTACATGGACTATATTTTAACACGAGATACATCAACATGTATCGCATCGAACACGATATCGATACAAATGTATTAATATGTGTCCGCTCTTTTTATTGCTAGATCAAAAATACTTGAAAAAAATGAGTATTTTAGTCTTTTCAAATAACTACCAGTCTAACAGAATATCAGCTACTACTTTCAAAAACCGTCTACTGTAAATATTGAAATCATTTTGCATTATTGCTTCGAAATATGTTCGATCATAGTAACTGAGCAGAAAAAAAATAATTCAATAATGTTTCTTACCGGTACAAAGGGGTCAACTTGTGAGAAAGATAAGAAAACTTGATCTCTTTCAAAAATATAAATATTCATATTAAAACTAAACGAAAAGTTAACCTCCAATACACCATTGAAACAATTGCTCTTGGTTCTACAAAAATCATCAATAAACGTATTTCCTCCGTTCCTTTTCGATATTAAAATATTTAATAGAGATTTTTAAGAAAGCTCTTCGATGGAAAAATTGCAAGAATATTGTTTAGACATGTTCGAGTTTGGCCCATTATATTTCTCAGATTCTTTCTGGAAAACTAGGTCTGGTAGAATATTTGTACATCTAGCATTGCTCCATGTAATCAAAAGAAAATTGATATTCTATGATCTTCTTAGATGGAATAGTAATACGGTTGGAAATTTCTACAATTACTTTTGTATAGTAGTTTAACATCAAAATTATGACACGACTATTAAATGATAAATCGTGATAACTTACTCATTAGTTCGTATTGATGAACATTTCGTAAAGCTAATTCTATTTCCGTATTCTTCGTTTTTTTTACCAGTTTGCTCGTATTATTATAAAAGTAGTTCACGGAAAATTATGTTAAAATACTGTCGACAACTGTATGTCTAAGACATTTTGGACGAAGGGGAATAATTAATAGTAATACGAATAAAAGGATTTAATTCTATTATTAAATCAAATGATATATTTCTTGTTTGTTATCACGATGCAGCACACAAGCTTTTATTAATTTATTTTCATAATTCCTTGTTTATCTCAGGAAGTTGCATGTATCTTTCCAATACGTTCTTTTGTTGTTTTCCTTTTACATAATTTCGATGAAACTTCAGAAGTTTCGTGCACACAACATGAAAATTGAATCCGCATGGTTTATTGGATAGAAAATCTGATCTATATTTATCGATAACTCTTCAATACTTTAAGCCCCCAGTGTGAAAAATCGATTTCGCCCTAGAAAAGAACAAACAACCTGAAATCCGGAAAATACATTGGAGTTACAGCGGAGAAGCTACGATGAAACTTTCAGCTCTAAACTCTTTGGTTTGAGAGAGTTACTCACTAAACAAGTTTAAAAAATAGCTGATTTTGCAACTCAAATTTCTTTGTTCGGGTTCGTTCAACGCATTTATTTTTTCTTTTTGTTTAAAAGAGCATGTCAAGATGTAGGGAATGATGTTCAGTTTTTTTTGAAATACTTATTTTTCAAGAGCAAAAAGGAGATCGCAAATTCAATCAGTGAAAAACTACTCAAAAAATGGTAACCAAATTATAGAAGTGTTTGTGTGTATACTTTAAAAAGCGCTAAATTAAAAAAAGGTGAACATCATGCCCCGCATCTTGACATGCTCTTTCAAACAAAAAGAAATATTAATGCATTGAATGGACTAGGGCGGAGAAATCTGAGTGCGCTTTTGAAAATGAGAAAACTGAAAGAAAACGAAAACAATTTTCGTTTTATTCTGAAAACAGCTAATTTTTTTCAGAGAGGGTAACAAAATTTTGAAAATTTTTCGGGAAAACAGAAGTACCGAAGAAAAAATTTTTGTCCTTTCTGAAAGAGCAGATCATGGACTATCTTCCTATGCATTTATTTCAATTTCAATGCTTCTGACCAATAGTGACTCTTTACGAAGGAAATAGAGAGCAGGCTTAGAGACAAAAAGGAGAAAATATCTTATATTTACCTATTAAGCGAGATCTGGCTTCCATTAAATTTAAGCTAAATCTATGAAGTTGTACAACTTGCCAGCATATTAAA